ACGAGTCTCATTTTTTCTATCAGCTTTTTAAAAAATACTAAAATTGATCATCAGAAAATAGATTTATATTTCTGTCATCCCCTTTTATCCATGTTTGTGTATTAATATAAAGAAATAAATTCCTACCAAAAAACATGGTAAAAATATAAGCAGAAGCATGAATAATGCACATGGAAAAATTTTCCTTTTCTAACTAAAGAAACTTTTAGATGCTTGATATGTTAAAGGTAAATAATTAAAGTTCTAGTAATTATTTTTATATTCTTTATACTATTAGAGTTTTAAAGACTACATTGTTGAATCTTAAAATAGATCCCTGTAATATAAAAGTTGTTGAAAATTAGGAGAAATAATATACATGATTCAAAATGTGCTAATTTTGGAGCATGTTTTAAATACTTTGATAACCTTTGTTAAATGTTTAGAAACGTTAATAAAGAAGCCAGGATCATATATTTAGGGGTTTCCTTCTTGCCAACTCCTGTTTTCTCAGTTACTATACTACTGAACACACACACACACACACACACACACACACACGTAAACATCCTCAAAATTAGAGGATTTTAATAACAAAACCAAAAATCTCATGTGTCAATAGAAGTTATTTATTTTCAACAAAATTATACATCTGTATTATTATAAACATTATTGGCAAAGAAATGTATGGAGGTTAACAGTACTTAGCATTTTAATATCAATATCATAAATGATTTCAGTTTTAAATGATTTAATCCCATGTATTTAAAAATTAATATTCACAATTAATATACCTAAATATATGGATTTTTTCTATTTTATTTTGTATCAGAGTTTATTTTCCTAGAAATCTGATTAGTTGGAGGAATTTATTTTATTACTTACAAAGTTCTAAGCATTTTTAGTGATTGTATTGTTTTATGTCAATGTTAAATAAGGAAAGAGATTAAGGTGTATTGGCTTCATGTCTTCGCTTTTATTCTCACACCAAAGAGCATCCCCTGGTCTGCATAGCAAAGAAAATAGTCAATAGAGGGAAGAGATAACTTAAAAGAAGACATACCAGTGGCCAACAAATATATGAAAAAATGTTCAACATCTTTAATTATCAGAGAAATGCAAATTAAAACCACAATTAGATATCACCTTACACCTGTGATACTGGCTATTATCAAAAAGATAAAAGATAAGCATTGGCCAGAATGTGAAGGGAACCCATGTACACTATTGGTGGGAATATAAATTTGTATAGCCATTGTAGAAAACAGTATGGAGGTTCCCCAAAAAATTAAAATTAGAACTACCATGTCCAAAAGTCTCACTCAGGGTATACAGTCATGCACCGCTTAACAGGAATATATTCTAAGAAATGCATTATTAGGCAATTCCATCATTGTGCAAACACCCTCAAGTGTACTTACACAAAGCTAGATGGCATAGCCTACTACATGCCTAAACTATACAATATAGCCTGTTGTTCCTAGGCTACAAGCCTGTACACCATGTTACTGCACTGAATACTGTAGGCAGTTGTAACAATGGTAAATATTTGTATATCTAAACATAGAACAGCAAGAATATTATATAAAAGATAAAAAAATAATACACCTGTATAGAGTATTTACCATGAATGGAGCTTGCAGGACTAGAAGTTGCTCTGGATAAGTCAGTGAGTGAGTGCTGAGTAAATGTGAAGTCCTGGGACATTATGGTACACTGTTGTAGACTTTATAAACACTGTACACTCAGGCTATACTAAATTTATTTTTTAAAAAGTCCTTCAATAATAAATTAACCATAGCTTATTGTAACTTTAACTTTTTAAACTTTTAAATTTTTTTAACCTCTTAACTGTTTTGTAGTAACACCTAGTTTAAAACACATTGCTGGGTATACAAAAATATTCTTTCTTTATGTCCTTATTCTATATACTATTGCCTATTTTTAATTTTTTTTACTTTTTAAAAACTAAGACACAAACACACACATTAGCATAGGCCTACACAGGGCCAGGGTCATCAATATCGCTGTCTTCCCCTAGAAGGTCCTCAGGGGCAATAACATGCATGGAGTTTTGATAACAGTACCTTCTGGAATACCTCCTGAAGGACTTGCCTGAGGCCATTTTACAGTTGAAGGAAATTAGAAATATTTTTACCCCAAAATATGACATTTTAACATTCTGGACTGACCTTCCCCCACCACCACAGCCACCTACTCAGGATGCGTGAAACTTCTAGGAAGGTTCCAGGCAGGGAAATTTGGAATTTCATCCCAAAATATGACTCCTTGGTATAAAGAGTATTTTGAATTACAGGCCCTCAGAGATCAACAGGTGTTGGAAGGGGCTTTCCCTCTATCTCCATAAAGACAAGACAGACCTATCAAGAAGACCAATTGTCTTTCTGTTCCCTCCCTGTTATCTCAGTATCTGTTGTAGGAAAGAAGATCAAGAATGCAACCAGACCTGGTCCAACCCATTTTTAAAATAATACTGCCTCTCAGGTTAATTTAATTTCCAAAGAGAATTGTTTACAAATCAATTTGTTTCCCCCATCCTTTTATTCTCCCAAGTATCTATTCATCTTCCCTAGTAAGCATTTATTGGCCCTCAACAGAATTCCCTATATTCCTCATCTCCTCCGCCCCTCTAAAATGAGGGTATATAAACTTTTGGACCCCATCGGGACATTGAGTAATCACTCTGTGATACTTTTGGTACACATGGTAAATAAATTTGTAATCTCTTTCTCTTATTAATCTGCCTTATTGTGAGTTGACCTTTCAGTGAAACTTCCAGGGGCAAAGGGGAAGTTTTCCCTTCTCCTCCACACAGTTAATTTTTTTTTAAATGAGTAAAGGAATATACTCTAAAATAATGATTAAAAGTGTAGTGTAGTAAGTACATGACCCAATAATATAGTAATTTACCATCAAGTATTATGTACTGTACATAATTTAATTGTTATACTTTTATATGACTGGCAGTGCAATAGGTTTGGTTACACCAGCATTACCACAAACAAATGAGTAATGTGTTGCACTACAATATTTCAACGGCTATGACATTACTAGGCAATAGGAATATTTCAGATTCATTATAATCTTATAGGACTTCCATTATATATGTGGTCCATTGTTGACTGAAATGTTGTTATGTGGCTCATAAATGAAATCTGTATGTTATAGACATATCTGCACTCCCATGTTTATTGCAGCATTATTCACCATAACCAAGATATGGAATCAACCTAAGTATTTAGCAACAGATTAATGAATAAAGAAAATGTGGTATACACACACAACACACACACACACAATGGAATATTATTTAGCCTTCAAAAAAGGAAATCCTGTCATTTGTGACATGGATGAAACTGAAGGATATTATTCTAAATGAAAGGAGACAAGCACAGAAATGCAAATACGGCATCATCCTATTATGATTATGTGAAATAATAATTTGAAGTAGAATTATTATTAGTAGATTAGAATACACTGGATATATTCTTGACCCAGCCTCCTTCAACCCATAGTGACATTCATTAAATGGTGTGCTGGAATTCATTTCATAATCTGGAAACTTGGAGCAGATTTTACCCCCTACACAAACTAATTGACCCAGATAGAAATTGAATCTACTGCCTTCAGCAGCAGTGCTATCTTCTGAAAGTTGAGCTATCCAGGACAAATGTGTGTGAAGATATGAAATAGTCAAAAATTTGCCCTTGCACATATTCTTCATAGATACATTTCCTCACTTATTAAAGTGGAAAAATGTATCTCTGTAATCTATATTTACATTGAAAATGGAGAAATAACTATATAAGAAATAACCATATTACCAAATTCTTTATTATCTGGAGCCATCTTTGCTTTGTACAGGGCAGCATTCTTTTGTTTTGGTTTCTTCTTTCTTTTTGTAAAATAGATACTTTTAGGTTCATTGTGGCTATTCAATAACATGTTTACAGAGATGTATGTATGTTTTTGCTGAACCACCTGCCATCAATTTTGCACACTAAGCAACCCACTACATTTCCTAATTTTTTATATTCTTTGCTGTTGCTTGCATACTTTAATTTATATTTCATTATTTCTTTAGGGCATTTCTTCTGCTGACGTGATTGCTTTACTTAAGATCACAGTAGAGCAAATACTTTTGTATTTTTAATGTCACCCACAGCTTTTACAGCACTGGGCACTTTAGTGTCTGTGGAATAGCTGTGCTCCAGAGCCTCATTATCATGGCATTTAATGTTCAGCCATCACACACAGATCGTCCATTATGCAGAATTGTAACCAGTTAATTTAAAGCAAATTTTCCTCACTCTTACTAAATTGTCTTTGAGATATTTCATAGTATTTGTAAAATATTTTAAAATAGTAACATTAATGCTAGTATTCATGTGGGAAATAATATAGATTATCTTCTTAAATTCACATATTATCTTTTAACAAAGGAAGTGGATAAACAGTAAATTTAATAGACATTATACTCATCTTCTTGTGTCTTAAAAGAGCAAGTTGTTAAATTACTATTATTTTAGCAATTTGTTCTAAGAAAATTGAAACTTTGATGGAAAATGAGCTCAGGTGATTGGGACATTGATTCAGGTGTATTTGGCATAGCAGGTCATTAACTATGTGTTAATTATGTATGATTACTCCTGAAAAGCTATGGTGGCTTCATCTTTTAGGTTGCTTCATTAAATCATTAATTTTCTTGGAGGTAACTAAGCCTGACATAATTAAGTCATCTCAGTCTCCACAGATTTTTCTCTTTCCATGATGTCAAGAACACTGAGCAAGTTAATATAAAACATTATAACTTACTCTCTGTATGTATTGGCTTTATATTTTAGGATTATTTAATACTATTTTGGCACGTTTTATTTTATATTTAAGTAATCTAATAAGTGTATACCTTTTAATTATTTACTTGATGTTTTAGTGTAGATTTTTGTACTTCCTGTAAATTATGCCTATTTATTATGTATTTGAACATTTCTTACCAACAGTTCTTTGACCCATGGCTACCTAAAGCTGCTTCAGTTTATCCAGAACATCATTTATGAGGAAGGATTTGATGGATCCAATCCTCAGGTATTGAGTACCTGCAAAGCTTTTTATAATCACATATATAATGTTGTTGTCAAATTCTCTGGGGTGGGGACCCAGAAGGTCTTAGAATAATCAACAATGAAAAAGCTGTTTTCAAGCACAGATCACAGGAAGCCCTTGTTTGTATTTAGAGTTTTAGCTAAGTTCTCTGTGAAGACACGTAAGATGTACACATGTGTTGTCAACATTAATTATTTTTAAATATGTATTTGTAGATTCTGGGATTAATAAGTGGCTGCATTTTGAAAATTAACTTTTAAATCTATAAAACTGGTACTTTTCTATCTAAACTTTCTGTTTTTGTCATTCAGGCTTTAATTTCAAATTACCTTATGAGTAAGAATTATCTTAAGATTTTATTTCTTACTATATTATGCTTTGAATTGTTTTATTGAATAAAAGATTCATTTTAATTTGCTATAATAAAATATTTTATAACAACTATTCCTCTGTAGCTCTAATTTTAAAATTAAAATTGTCCTCCAAATTCCCAATAACAAAGATGTTCTGGTTAGTTTAACTTAAACAAAATGAGGAAAATTTTATCTCTGAATATCATACCTTTCAAAATTCTTCCTTGGTGATTTTAGTTGCTTTTGCTGCTAAAAGATTTGTATCACATTTGTATTATTTTAACGGAAGTATTTTCAGAGCACCATTATTCTTACTGAAGCCAAAGAAGTCTTATTAAGCCAAAAGTCTTATTTTTGGCATTATCAGCTACATATGCTCTTAATTCATAGACTTTAAAATATTCTTATAAACTTTATTACTGTATTTAATACTAAAAATAAATAATTTTTAAATTTGTTTTTATTGCCAGTTTAATTGCAGGTTGATAATAATTGTGTGTGGTAAAGCAGCAGTCCTCAACCTTTTTGACACCAGGGACAGGTTTCCATAAAGGCAGAGGGGGAGGGGCACGAAAGATGGAGCACAACCTCTGCTCCACCTCAGATCATCAGGCGTTGGATTCTCATGGGGAGCGCTGCAACCTGGATCCCTCTCATGCATAGTTTTGTGCTCCTGTGAGGATCTGATGCTACCATTTATCTGACGGGCGGCAGGGCTCCAGTGGGGATGGGAGCAATGGGGAGCGGCTATGGGGCTATGGGGTACAGGTGGGGCTTGGCCTAGTCTCCCACCACTTGCCTCCTGCTGTGCAGGAGTAGGGGCAGAAGGGTTGGGAACTGGGACAGCAGTGGTAAAGCACAGACATTTATTTGTGGATGGCTGTACATCACTTTTTTTGTGATGGCCTTTGGTATTTAATACAATTTTATTTTGTTCATTGTTCCATTTTTGGTCCTATGTAAGATTTATGGGTACCACGTCTTCCCTTTGGTACCTTTTGGCCTGTCTAGAGAGGTAAATTGGTCCCTGACAGACACCTCTCCCCACTTACTGTGGTAACTATGGAAACAGGCATGTCATAACAGTTCCTGTGGTACAGTGTGCAGAGCTGCTGCTCTTACAGGATGATGACACATCTTCTGAGAGTAAGAAATTTTATAGAATCCAAAACAGCAAAGGCAACAGCAAAAGGGATACACACACCCACACACACACACACACAGATGTATTCAAGAATCCTTTAATATGTAAGCAAGTATTGAAATGGAAGGAAATGTTTCTTTTCTTAGTTGTTTATTTGGGTATGAAAACAACACCATCTTCAAGAAGCAATACTCATTTTCTGTGAAAATAGACAAATGGGCTGGTTTGGCTCTCAGAACCAAATATTCTGTAACTGTTGACTTTTCTAAAGACCAAATAAGGTTGAGGTATACATTTCTATGGTGAATACCAAGAATGTTAAATTTTAAAATTAAAATATGCCAATAAGTTATTATAAAAAATATACTTCCAATTTTATTGGAACTAAAATATAATTAATGAAATTCCATATGTTTAAATTATACAGTATATTGTACTGTTTGCTAAATTACCTCGTCTGTACATCAGACTCAGAAATTTTAGATGGGTTCAAGAAGCCATAAAAATGTATCTACCAGGCACTACTGTAAAAAATATTCCTGAGTTAAACTAATGTTCTGACACTGAAATAAATCCTACTTTTAAAAGGAAATTTTCATCTTTTTTATCACTGTATCTTCAAATAAACTGAACTAATTGGTGACAATGTATAAAAATAAACTCTAAGGAACAGAATATCATATACTACCTTACAATTAACCTTAGTAGTAAGTAAAGTAGTGTAGCTCATTTATAAAGATAATTGAAGTGGAAACATTTACAATTTCTATCATAATTTCATTTGTTTTTAAGCTGTGATTTTCAAATATCTAAGAAATATATGATAAAAATGAAATTTGATTGTTGATTTTACTTAACATACCATATTAAATGTTTTAGATGTTCTCACAGGAATAAATTTATTATACAGCTGACAATAAACATTTGTGTTTTAAATCTTGTGCCACAGAGTATGCCCCATTCTTATATGACATAGCAAAGAAATTATGTCCCAAGCAACACAGAAGATTTGTAATTCAGCCTTTGTTTTTGCAATTACCATATTTTTAAAAATATAACTGCATTTCTCATGTTGAAGTATTATGCTCAATTATTTTCTGATATGCTATGTACCTACCTCACTGAGATATCACCACTCTTTGTCTTTTCTTTCTTTTTTTTTTTTTTTTGAGATAGAGTCTCACTTTGTTGCCCAGGCCAGGCTAGAGTGAGTGCCATAGCGTCAGCCTAACTCACAGCAACCTCAAACTCCTGGGCTCAAGCAATCCTGCTGCCTCAGCCTCCCGAGTAGCTGGGACTACAGGCATGCGCCACCATGCCCGGCTAATTTTTTCTATATATATTAGTTTGCCAATTAAATTCTTTCTATTTATAGTAGAGACAGGGGTCTTGCTCTTCCTCGGGCTGGTTTCGAACTCCTGACCTCGAGCAATCCGCCTGCCTCAGCCTCGCAGAGTGCTAGGATTACAGGCGTGAGCCACCGCGCCCGGCCTCTTTGTCTTAATATTTTCATTCTTTCTGTATACATGTATCAGTGTATTTGTCACCATCACTAAACTTGTATAGTTCTTCTGATTTTGTGTCTAACAGCATTTGTGTTATAAACTTTTAGCAGGTATTTTTTGATACAATACTGGGAAATAGATCTTTTGTTTCTGAAATGTTGACAGGGGAAACAATATTATGCTATTCTCTTTTACCTTTGCATTTCATTCAGATACCTAGGGGTTTTTCAAAAGTTTCTCTCTCCCTTTTTCTAGGTTACTCTTTCTGTTAGGAATCTAACTTAATTACCACGTGATAATTTTAGAGATGGCAAAATGAACCTTAAATTCCTGCCATTTTACTTAAATTCTGAGGTTTTAAGTAATAAAAACGAATAACCTATCGTATTTCACAAATATCTTACACTAATTCACTAGTAATTATATTTATACATTTAACATATATCCTGGTACACCTCAATATTTCATTTCAATCCAGTAATTTAGAAATAAAACAACTTTTTTGGACCATCAAGGATCATAACATAGGGCGTGTTAGGTGGCTGTCTATCATAACCGTAGCACAATCAGGAAAAAAAAAAAAAAAAACATTGGACCAGTTACCTTACTAGTGTCATCATGTTTCAGGTCCTTGGAGTCAGGAAGTTATTTTTTAATGTGCTTAGTCTTAAATTCCTTTTTCTGTAATCTCATTCTTATAGTCTTATCCAGGCCAGTATATCCCTTCATACCTTCAAATATTCAAAGAATTGTATGGAATCATAGAACAGTGTTCTCTTATATCCTTTTAGTTTTAGAGATGAGAAAACTAAGGCCTAAGTAATGTGTGTGTGTTGCCCAGAATCATACATCTACTTAGTTATGTAGTACAGACCGTAAGTCTCTATCATCCAACTGACTACTGTTCCCTTAGGTTTTCCTCTTCTAACGTTTCAATGTTTTATTCATTTTTTTTCTTTCCTTTATCAATAAATTTTGTGGGAAAAGTAATACACCAATTCAACTTTCCAAGGTAACATCAGGGAAATAGATATATTGTATTCCACAATAACTACTTGGTTAATAAATTTCATTAGTGGTATTTTATAGCAATATCGAATGATACATTTGAGGATCTTGTTTCATCAGAAATCACATCTAAAGTCACACACATCCCATAACATGGCTTTAAGAAATAAAAATCTTATTTTTATTGTCAATCAAAATTGTAGTAAGATTTTTCAATTATTTGCTTATTTCAGTTTTGTTAATGCTTCTTTCTTTTGCCCGAAATTTTGCTGGATGCTTACAGAAAGCATTTACAAAACATTTGTTCGTTTAGGATTGCCCAAACAGTAGAATTTTTTATAAACACGTCTGCTGCTAAGCACTTCTTGACAGTCATACTAGAGTTTCTTTAATGGGTTTTTTTTGTTTTGTTTTGTTTTTTTGAGACAGGGTGTCACTCTGTTGCCCAGGCTAGAGTGCCATGGCATAAGCCTAGCTCACAGCAACTTCAAACTCCTAGGCTCAAGCAATCCTACTGCCTCAGCCTCCTGAGTAGCTGGGACTACAGGAATGTGCCACCATGCCTGGCTATTTTTTTATATATATATTTTTGGTTGTCCAGCTAATTTCTTTCTATTTTTAGTAGAGATGGGGTCTCGGTCTTGCTCAGGCTGGTCTTGAACTCCTGAGCTCAAGCAATCTATCCGCCTTGGCCTCCCAGAGTGCTAGGATTACAGGTGTGAGCTACTGAGACTGGCCCTCTTTAAAGGTTTTTAAATGTTTTTTCCCCAAGAAATATCAGTCACTGTTATTATGACTTTAATGTCAGTAGGCTCAAGATCTAAATATTTACCTGTTAAATTTTATGAAAAATGTTGAACTTGAATTATTGTTAACAACAGCTCCAAGAAGGAAAACTAGAGGCAAGTGTAAAATGTAAAACCAAAAAGTTATACATCTTTAAACTCTTTTCAAACAAAAGATTAGGCAGTAGGTAGGATCAAATTAAGTAAGAAATCTTGAGTAATTTATAGTTTATTGAAAGATTTACAGAATTTTCTAATACTGAGAATGGTTACAGGTATTCTAGTTTAAATTTTCTCTATTATTACCTGTGATTTGTTATATATTATTTTAAGTCCCTCAAACATAATTCATAGACTAGTCACTGTTAAAATTTAGACACAATATAAAGCTTGAGGTTTGTTGCACTTTTCAGATTGTCCAAAATGGGGGAAAAAATCAGTTCTATAAATTTTCATAACCTTGTAATCTAAAAGATTTCCTTTATATTGTCTTATTATTAATAGTACATAAAATTTTTTAACACATCTATTGATATTATATTCCTGATCTTATAAATAAAAATAAGAACTGGCAGATAAAAGAGGTATCCTATTGATTAATAAAACTTTATATGTTTACTTCCCTCCTTTTCCTTTAGAAAAAAAAGAAAAATATTTTAAGAATAGGAATTCAGAATCTTGGCTCACCTTTATGGGGAGATGACATTTGCTGTACAGAAAACTGTGACAACAGTCACAGCCTTACCAAGTTCCTCTATCTTCTCCGTGGTCTTCTGCGAACCTCTCTTTCAGCCTGTATCATCACAATGCCAACACATCTAATTCAGGTATGAACTTTCCAAAATTACTTTCCCCTAACTAGTAGTAAAATGTTATGACATGGGGTTTTAATTTGCATTTCCATGATAATTAATGATGTTAACCATCTTTTCATGTGCTTTTTGGCCATTTGCACCTCTTCTTTCATCTTAGTCTTTTGTCCATTTTTTATTGGGTAATCTCATTATCAATTTTAAAAATTCCTTGATATTTTAAGTACAATTTTACAATAATTTTCTTCCAATCTATGACTTGCCTTTTTAATTTTCTTATCAATATCTTTTGAAGAACTAAAGTTTTTAATCTTAATGAAGTTTTACTTATCAATTCTTTAAGTGGTTAGTAGTTTATCTCCCTTACCTCCCCAATTTTGCCAGTTTTTGCCCTCTCCAAGATCTTTTTCCTGTGTTTTCTTCTAAATATTTTATAGTTTTTATCTTTTACAAATACATCAATGTATTCTTGTTTTAATTTTTGACACAATTTTAGTCCATCTCCTCAAACAGTTTTTGGTTTCTTTAATTAATATTCAATTTGTATGTTAGTATATTTTACATTCACTAGTTCTCTTTTTGTTATTAGCACTGTTTACTAAAGTACTTACTGTCTGCCTGAAGCATGTGATTTCATATAATCTTATACATCTAATACATTGTAGTGTCCATAAAGATGAGGCCAGATATTTATTCTTTTCTTTATGTGGCTTTATGGTAATAATATAGTATTAAATGTGTTTTAAGAATTCTTAAACACTCCACCCAGGCCTTTTCTAGATATTTAATAAATGTTAATTAAATGAATATTGATTCTTACTTGGAAAATTATTTCTAATATCTAATTGTTGAAACTATTTGAATCTTCATTATAATAGTTATGCTAATTATGTACAGCATATATAGCAAATTTCAATACTATGATGGAAAAGGTTGGCATAAATAAGACTCCTTAGTCAGTAAAATTTAGACTCCTTGACCAGTAGAATTTATTTATTTATAATAGATATGAGAGGATAACTTAGTTTTCCTTTTAAGGTTTTTTACAGATTGTGCCTGGACCCAAATTATTCTTATAAGCTAAAAATTGTATAAATAGCATAAGGAACCCCTTTCTCGAATCATCTTAGACATTGTACACATACTTGTATTGTTTTCATTGTTGATGTTAAGTTATTGTAAAGTTAATACTTTAATAATAGTTTGGTTAGACATAAGTGAGATTTTTTATTTTGACACTAAATAAACCTAAAACAGACCTATTCCATACTGATAAAAATACTGCTATTCATACTATTACTACAAGTATGCTACTACTACAACTAGTTAATAGGTACATATTATACCTATTACCATAAAGTGCCAAGTACTTTAAAAGCATTATGTCCTGGAATCTTTACCACAACCTTATGAAATAGGTAGTATTTCCCTCTGTTTTCACAAGGTCACCCGGTTAATAAATGGCAGGACCAAGTGTATATCCCTGGCTTCAAACTCCACCATTTTTACTTTTAGATTATATAGCTTCCCTAATCATCACAAAAACCCTACAAGATAGCTGTGATATTAACTACAAAGACAATTAAACTGAAGTTAAATGATTCTACAATGCCACATGTCTATTATACATTCAAAGCTGGTATTCAGGCTCATATCTGAGTTAATACTTAAACTCATTCCCCTCTATCACACTATATCCTTATATGTCTTGAATTATTAATTACCTTCGATGACACTGACTTTCCATTAGAGAAAAAAGTTATTGGCCAACATTGTTATTATTCAGCATTTTTAAAGAAAAAATTATTGTAAAATATTTGATAAATTAGTACATATAAAAGATTAAGCAAAAAGTTCCATTCCAGAAAAGTATGAAACAATGAAAGCATGTTTTCTTTTGTATAATTACAAAGCAAAGAAAAGCAGTTATGAAATATATGTATATATGTCATTTAAAAAATTTATCCCAGTGGGACATATGCACAAAAAAACCCAAAAAGGAAAGGGAAACACTTTTCAAAAGCCATTTTGTTCGTGATAATCTTTATTATTAATACTTGAAGAGATTCCTACCCCATTGCGAATGTCTGTGACAGAGATTCCTCTAGCCTCTGTTTAAGGGAACAACAGTGATACTATCAGGTGACCTCAAGTTAGCCTATCTGTAGCACTGATTAAATAAAGACTGAATGATGAGGTAAGCTAGATGTCTGAACATGAAGCAACATTTTATTTTTGATACTTTACAAATATACTTAAGCCCTTGTGTAAGTGGAAGAGATATAGTTTAAATTTATGCTTTTTAACATAGCAGTGAAGAGACTACTTTGAAATGGAAATAGCAAAATATAGGGACAGACTTGTGATAATTATAAAGTTACACAGTATGACCAAGAATTAAGACATGTTCCTCAAAACAGAGAATGTCTTAACCTTCTAAACTTTTCCCATTTTTCATACTCTTTTCCCTAGACACTTATGTAAAGCTATCATATAGTAGTAGTCTTTTGGCCCTATTGTCAATTGAGCAAATAAATTATTCCATTGCCCTTTAAACAAGATGTCTGACCATGTATTTGTTTTTATATCAAAATATTTTGGAGAAAATATAAAGCTAAATAGTTTGCCCCAACCAGTCATAATATAAACTTTTAAAGACTGGTAAGGAAAATCACAATTTAGTCTAAGGAAAGAGACTAGAAATTGAAAGCAGTATGCTTCGAAAGCTAATCAAAAACATGTGAATACATAGAACCAGGGGACCCTGAGTTTATTTAACAGAGAGTTCCATAGTGATTATTGTAGTCCTGTGGCAGTCTAAAACTCTTCATATTAGCTCTTTTAATCCTCACAATACCCAATATGGTTGGTACTGCGATAATCTTTTCCCAAAATCACACAGCTACTCAGTAACAGAATTTAGACCTAAGCAGTCCCCCCCTCCAATTACTATATTCTTAACCACTATTCTGTGCTGCTTATTCAATAAAGGTACTGAAATAGCATCAAAATTTAAAAATAGAGTGTGTACAAAGTAGCATTCAATGATAGAAAGAGCTGGGGGTTTTGGAGGCAAATAGACCTAATCAGTTCTATGTTCTTAATCAAGTCTTAACTTTTCAACCTCAGCTTCATCTGTAAAAATGGAGCAAAAAATACTGAAGTCAGAGGATTAGCAATAACATCTGCTGACACAGTGCTGGCACACAGTAGGCATTCAATATATGTTTGCAATTGTCATCTTCAGACAATTATTACTCAAACAGACCTCCAAAATTGAAAAATTGAACAGAAAAAATAAGGTGTACAAATCTATCAAAGCAATAGATATCTCTAGCTTTCTGCCTTTTTTTATAAAAGACAATGACGGAATCTTCTCATAAATTAGGCCTGAGACAGACCAGCAGGTATAGATAAAGCTAGATGGCATCCAGATCTTAGTAGCATCACCATGTTGTAACAAGACTCTTAACATCGTACATCAACTTCCTCTCCACTGTGATCAGAGCCATATCTAGAGACTGTACATGAGGGTTTCAATGATGATTGAATGGCTAAGGGTAATTTAGCTTATTCACTCATTCAACAAATAATGTAGGCACTATTCTAGGCACCAGTGGGTTTACAGTAGTGAACAAGACAAATCAAGTTCCTATTCTCATGGACATTTTTCAGTAATGCAAAAGATAACAGAACAGAAAGGTATAATAGTATATGTGAGTATGTGGATAGTTGAGCTTGGGAGTTGATAGTAAAGTGGTTTCTGGTAGGAAATAGAAATGTATTTCCTATCCTTGAAATTTTGTCATATAATTAAACATCTATAGATAATAAAATTGTGGTACTTTTATTTGAATGCATTATATAAAGTAACACTGGATTAAAAGTACTGTATATAAAATATCTTTATGTCTTAAATTAGTAAACCAGCCAATCGGTGTTCTTACTTTAGTTATTAGCATTCTGTCAGACTTGTACAGTAATGATTAGTTACCCTTTATTGTACTTTTGGCATGCTTCCCATGTTTAATTTTATTGTAGGAAAGGAACACATAGTTAAGGAAATTACAAAGAGGGGGGAAAGTTAAAACAGGGAAAATAATGACACACATTCAAAACTGATTCTAACTTATTGTTACAATAAGACTTTTGCAAAAAGTGAACAAAAATTATTCTAAAATTTGGATTTGAAATATTTTATGTTCAGCCTCATAACTTTGAACTTGAAATCTTTTATTTCCTTAAGTTAATTAAAATTTATTTCCATAACCACAGGAAAAAAATGACAAGAATACTTTAAAACATATTAAAGTAAGTTCTAAATGTCTGTTTAAAAAACACTAAAGTTTTTCAGCAAATATGAATGTCTTAAAATATGTATATATAGTCTTAAACAATTTTCCCTGTAAAGTAGTAGTATTACTTATATTGTCTCTTGCTAGAATATAGTTTTAGTATCTGCCCAAAGACACTGTACTAAAAATGTATGTGAAAATGGCTAAGTTAAATACAGACTTTGTTACATGCTGAACTATGGAGTAAAGTGTCATTAGAAGGAGCAGAACTACGGACGGCTCCCCTATATTCCAGCATTACTCAGTTCCCAGATCCCTGCTGTGTAGTTGTTCCACTCGCCAAGAAGCCTGTTAAAGAGCCCCCAAGAGCATGTGTACAGCCCTCCATGTTAATAGTTAATTGGTGAGGATGGCAAGATGAGAGGACAGCCGAACATGTGGTCTCTCAGACTCAAGCAGTAGACAGACCTTTAGTTATAATAACAGCAGCTGCTCACATTCTCACAACTCAACTGTTCAAAACTCTGTTGTCGAGTAAAGGTTGTGGATTGAGAAAAAAAGTAAAGGTTACGTCTAAGAAAAATAACTAAAGCTCTATCTTTAAACTTTTCCTACATATTATTTTAATTATAAAAATATTATTTCAACTTTTAAAAACTTAAGTATAAATTTCAATATTAAAGGTGGTTATATTTCAGCTACACTGAGCATTCTGCTCCT